GGGGCTTGCGGGACGAACGGCGACGGTGACGGCGACGCGAGGGGGTGTCGGCGGCAGCAGGAGTGACCGGCGGCGAGATTGACGCCGAGCGTGAGCGGCGCAGCTTCCGCGACGATCGGCGACGGCGGCGACGGGTGGAGCCTGGTGCGTCCACATCGCTGGCAGGGTTCAGGACCGAATCAGAGGCCGCGGGGAGGAGCCCGGGCTCGGGCTCGGGTACCAGCACGGCGCCAGCGACAAAGCCGTCGCTTGCTGGCGGCGGCGAGGCTGAGGTGGTGTGGTCGGTATGCGCTGTGTGGCGGCGGCGGCGGCGGCGGCGCTTGCGCGACGAGGCCTGCTCGTCGGCGACGCTGCTGGTCCACGACGAGTCGTGGTCGTCGAACGACATATGCTTGGGCGTCGATGACGCCGGCTTGTGCGAGCGTGAGCTCGGCGTGCGCTTTCGCGATGAGTGCCGGCGGCGCGAACCCTTGGCCGACCGCGAGCGCTCGGCCTTGGATGCCGAAGCCTCGCGCAACGACTCGCGCGACGCCTGCTTCACCATGGCCTGCTTCTCGGGCGAGAGCGCGTGAACAGGCGCAGACTTGTCGTTGAGGAACCGCGTGACCAGATCAACCTCGGAGGCCTTCTTCTGTGGCGTGGCCATGGCTGTGTGCCAGGCCCGGAGGCCGGCGGCCCAGCGATCACGCTCGTCCTCCGAGTCAAAGACAAGGACCGTCGACTTGGAGAATACTTGCTCAACAGAGAGTGCTTTGTGCAGCAGCTTGGCCGGCAGCGCACGGAGCGACGCCGGCAACGACGCTGCCGCCACCGTCGCCGAGCCGGCCACAATGGTGTTGACCGAGTCGAGGTGGACGACCGCAAAGGGGATGAAGGCTGCCAGCTCCTTGTACAGCGACAACTTGCGCTCCTTCACCGCTGCGTACCGCTGCTCCACATGGCAACCGCCGTTCGAATCCATGCGCGCGTGCCAGACGGGCCCTTGAGGGCCGGGACCTGTGGGTGGGTCGGTGGGTGGTGGCATGAGTAAGGGATGAGGGAGCAGGAGGGGAGGGGGGGGGGGGCGGAGGAGGGGGGTGGTGGTTCGGGTGCAGGGGGCGGAAGCGTACGTGTGGCATGGCTTTGAGATGGTGGTGGGGTGGGAGGCACGCGAGAGGGGTGCAATCACTGCTGACTCGGCTGTGCCCGTCTCTGGTCGCTGTCGGTGGGGCAAAGGGCTTGCCGTGGCGCGAGGTGCCCGTGGACAACCCGCCGCGATCGATCACTGCCCCCCCC